CTCCCAACCACCCCCTCTGCCTGTGCCCAGTGCACCCCTCGGGGCTGTCCTGAGCTGTGCCTTAAATGACAGCTCGGCACATGTGGGTTACAGGGAGCACCGGGCCCAGTGCTCAGCGCTCACTCACTCCAGCCTCCCCGACAGGTCACTACTGCCCGGTGGGGACAGCCTCTGCTCTTCCCTGCCCAGAGGGGACCCTGAACCCGCAAGAAGGCGCACTTTCTCCCAGGGCCTGCCAGCCCTGCCCTGCAGGGAAGTACTGCCCTGGGGAGGGCAGCAGGCAGCCTGAGGGTAGGTACCAGCGGCCAGCAGAGCTATGTCCTGTCCCATGCACTGTGTCCCCAGGGCTGTCCTCAGGCCACAGTGAAGTCCCAGTTTGGCCAGCCCACCTCACTGTGGCCTCCTGCCAGTCCCTCCCTGGAGCCCTGCTCCTCACACAGCCTAGAGCAGGACTCTGCTCAGTGCAGGTGTGACCCGGACAAGTCACTGGTCCCCTGGGGTCTCAGTCTCCCCCAAACAATGGGGTGATAACAGAACCCACCCCCACAGTTGCTATGGAGAGTGTGGTCCTCACAAATCCGGGGCTGAGAGCAGTGTTCGGTGCCCAGAAAGTGCCCCTGGCTCCTTTCTTGGTTTGGACCTCACCTCACATTCCATGCTCAGGTCAAGAGTACTGTGGCTGCTCTGATGTTTTCCTTCTTCCTACTTTAATTTCCATGTCTCCAGGGTTCGGGCAGCAGGCAGGGAGCACAAGAGGGCAAGATAGGAGCCTCCCACAGTGCAGGCAGCTGCCCTAAAATTCTACCTCTTTCCACCTCCAAGGACCCTGCTTGGCTGGTTACTACTGTGGAGGGGGCGCGGCCAGCCCCACTCCCTGGAGAAACTCTGCCTTCCCCCTCAACGGACCCTGCCCCCTCAGCCACTACTGCCCACAGGGGACTCTGCACCCTGTGCCCTGCCCCGCGGGGACGATGAGGAGCAGCCCAGGTGAGCGTCTGCCCTGTGCCACCCTCCACTCCTAGCTGGCAGCCCCTCCTTAATATAAATCTGACTCCAACCCCTGGAACAGACACAAACCGCACAACAAGACCTCTGTTGGTCAGGGTCTCTGGGGCTCCTGCTGGGCTGGACACGGTCGGGTTGCAGGCTGTGCCCAATGCCGGGCTCCGCCCGAAAGTGCCAGCCATGTTGCTGGCCCCCCCAGGGCAGAAAGGCCTGAGGGAGGTTCTGGCCAGTGGCTGCCCCACTCAAGACGCGTTTTGCCTAGGCTCCATCCTGGCACGGAGTATGGCAGCGGGCCAGGAGGAGCAAAGGTCCCCGTCCTTGGGGCTGACAACCTGGTGTGGGGACGCAGAGCCCATGTCCTTCTGCCTTCCTCTCCAGGTGGCATCTCTGAGGGGAGCTGTGAGCCCTGCCCTGCTGGTTCCTTCTGCCCCAGCCTGGGCCTCAGTGATCCCACTGGCTCCTGTGTGGCAGGCTCTGAATGCCCCTTGGACCCTGCGGCTTCCAGCACCATGGCTCTCCCCTGCCCTCAGGTACCTCCCTGGAGCTGCAGGAGGGAGCCCAGACCCCAACCCCTCCAACAATGGGCCTCAGGCCCTGCAGGCGTGACCTCAACGCCCCCAGCTCCCAGGCCCCAATTCTTTCCCCACCTGTCCCACCCAGCCTCCTGGCCTCCTGCACTCATCATCACCAGCCCGAAGGAAGCACAACGCAGCAACCCTCCTGAGCCCCTGGGCACCCCAACCATGCTCAGCCTGGCTCTCAGAGGTACCACTTTGTGTTCAATGCCCAGGGTCACTTCTGCCAGCGAGGGGCTGCTTGGCCTGCCCCATGCCACCCAGGGGAGTACCAGCCCTCCCTGGGCTCAGATACCTGCCTCCAGTGTCCTCCTGGCTTTCACTGCCCGCATCCCGGCATCAGAGTGCCCAGGCTCTGCCCAGCACACAGCTACTGCCCGGCCGGTATGCCCAGCAGCCCTCAACTCCCCATGCCTCCAGGACCCCTGCTTTCTCCCCAACACCCTGTCTGCCTTCCTTTCATTCAAACTCTGTGGAGTGCCTACTGCATGCCAGCGCTGTGCTTGTACTGGGAACACCAGCATCCAAGAGCACACCCACAGCCTTCCCGCCCCCCTCGCCCCACACACCTGGCTTGGCCACCCCACCCTGTCACTTTTCTCCTCGTCACCTTCTCTGAATCAAAGTCAGTGCCCTGCTCTTCCCAGGGTGAGCTCCTGCTCCAGAGGGGATGGCACACAGGTGTTGTCACCTGTGCCAATCTGGGTTGACCATCTGGGAGTGACTCCCTGAGTACTGAATGGAGAAGGGCTCTGCAGTGATGTCAGGTGATGGTGTCGGAACCTGGCAGTTTGTTACCATGACGCAAGTTTATTGTCCATGAGATTGAGTCCAGACACTCTGAACACAGTGCATGAGGCCACAGTAACACATGCACACACACTCACACACATACCCACACACGTACCCACAGTCACACACATACACACTCACACACTCACACACACACACACTCACACACACACTCACACACATACCCACACACGTACCCACAGTCACACACATACTCACACATGTACCCAAAGTCACACATGTACTCACACACATACTCATACTCACAAAGGTACCCACTTACACACAAGTACTCACACACATACCTACTCGCACTCATGTATTCAGACGCATACCCACACTCACACACCTACCCACATTCGCACAAGTACCCGCAGTCACACACTCATACACATGTATTTGCACTCACACACATATATCACATACATGCCCACACTCACACATGTACCCACACTTACACACGTACCACACATGCACACACATACAGATATACAAACATGCACACGGCATATAAGGGCACACACAAATGCACACACAGAAATTACACACATACATATGTGGTTCCCAGAGCAGGCTAGCAGACAAAAAGGTGTCTACGTTCACAATCTTTATCATGTTTTAGGTAAGTCTGGAGGAAATCTTCCTGCTAAATTTAGTTGTGTGTACATTACCATTGCAAGTGTTTGATTCACAGAAGATACTTACATTTGTTCTTCCCATGACTATGGTATGAGAGGTATATGTGCCCCTTTTAAATGAGTGACCTCTTACTCCACAATATTTAGGACATCCCAAGTTCAAAGAGCCTGGCCTGTTGCCCCATGGTAACATGTGCAGGTCACAGGGCTACTCTGGGGAGCGCTGCTGTCTGGGGTTCTCAGGCCCCTCCTTGCTGAGGTGCTGACTTTCACTCTCAACCTCCCCTCACTAATGCTAATTCGCTAATTTGTACCTTCAGCCCTTTACTCCTGGTCAGATTATTTTTCCCCCAGTAGATCCAGCTACTCACTTTAAACCTTCCCTGTTGGGGTGAGATGCACTCACTGTGGACCCAACATGTCTGCACCGCAGCCCAAGAGCCCTTTGGCCACACAAATGGCCCCTCTCCCCCAAACAGCTTTGCTGCTGTCTGAAAACCCTCCATTCAGGAGTCACATTTTTGAAAAAGGGCAATAATCCTAAGGAGAGAGACTGAGTCACCAACTTTTCGTCACTCCATTGGCTCTGGGAAAGCACCATGAAAATCTCACACCACCAAGGGAGCGGGGGGCAGCAGGACACAGGTGGGGGCCCCCTTAGTGGGTTAGTTTGTCCAGGCAGGCCCACAGGCACTGATGTGACCCGAGCCCTCGGCTGCCTGTCTTCACCAGCTTCACCCTCCTCCAGGCACGTGGTCCCCTCCACCATGTCCTTCAGGAACCTTTACTCCCCAGGATACGGCAGGCCTCCAGGAAGAAGGTGACTGCTCTGTCTGTCCCCCTGGTCACTACTGCAGGTCAGTAACAGTCACTCACCTCTGGTCACTGCTGCCAGAGTACACCCTCTTAGGGAAGAGGCCAAATAGCTGTGGCCTGTCCTGGGCCCTGCCCTGTGGGTGAGGGGAAGCCTGTAACACCCCAGCCCCGCAGGCCGCACAGGTCTGAGCAGGGAGCGGGAGCCTGACAATGAGGTAGAGAGCCAGGACAGTTAACGCAGTTAGGAAATCAAAAGGTGTCTGCTCATCTCAGCCTAAAAACACGGGGAAGTTCCTTACAGGCAAAATTATTTGTGCCTCTAGGTGATGTCAATGTTTTGCACATACACTCAGTGGGAAAAGATGGACAACTCTTCCTTCCACCTCTATTTCTGGATGTTCTACAATATGAATAGCTTTTGTCATCAGTTGGGCTGGAGAGACAGTGCATGGTACCTTTAAACAGAATGACCAGAAAGCCGGCCTTTGGGCTCCCAGATTCCACCTGAAAGCCCTGCACCCATTTGGTGTATGTTTCAGGAACCTTCTGTGCAGTGGGGACATGCTCACTGAAGCAGAAGTCACTGGGAGAACACTGTACTTGGGAATCAGGGACTCACAGCCTGCAAGATGGGTGGGGGCTCCCCAGCCTCTGCCTTTCCCCAGACCATAGGGGCAGGCCCAGGGCCAGCTCCCCAGAGTTGCCAGACAAAAGGAAAGCACACTGGAGTCTCTGGTTCAGGGAAAGCTCCCAACATGTGCTGAAGACATACCTACAATTTCCTGAGACTTGGAATAGGGCCAGCAAAAGAAGGGTTGGTCCGCATTTCCTGCGGAGGTGCACCTGCTTCAAAGCAGGTTCTTTTCTACTTGAAAGGCAACAGCCGAGGGTCCCTCAGACTCTCCTGGAGGTTCGTATCCCTCTCTCAGGAAGTTCATCCTTAGGTCTAGCCTGGTTTCTCCTGCTGCAGAGCTGGAGGTCAGACTAGTGGCCCTCAGAACCCAGGCCCTGCAGGCCCCAATGCAGGGGCAGTGCAGGAAGCAGGGGGAAACCTGGTTCCCTCCCTCCTCATTCCCACAGTGAGGGCAGGGCCCACAAGCTCCTCCCAGAGGGGCGTGTCCTGCTGTTGGCAGCCTTGGGTCCCACTCTTTATCCACTGAGCTCCATAATCTCAGGACAAAGATGTTCAGGAGTCCACCTTTTCCTAAAGGGTACGCAGGTCGGGGGCTTTGGGCCTTATGCCCCATTTGACCACTGGATGAAGTGTCTCATCTTATTCTCTTGTGTACATAGGCATATTCCCACATTCTCCTGGGTGTTCTACACTGTGGGTCACAGCAAGACTGTCTGAAACCAGGACCTGCTTCCTGGTTCAGATCAGCCCTCCATCCTGGTCTTTTCTCTCTTGTCCCTTGTTCCTGGCTGTTAGAGGTGGACAGGTGTCGGGAAAATGTCCTGCTGGTTATTTCTGCCCACCTGGGACCTCTGGACTGATGACACCAGGTCCCAGGGAGTCCCAGGCCCTGTGTCCTCGGGGACAGCTGTGTGCCAAGCCATGCCCACCAGGTAACAGCTGTTTCTTGACCTTGGGGTGTGAAAGAGGCAGAGAGCAAGGCTGCCCAGCTGTCACCACAGGACCCAACCAGGCAAAACAGACTCTAAAAACAGTTGACCCCCAGTGCTGTCCATCTAATTTACATATGCACGTGTATGTGATTACATATATCACACATATATAATATGCAATGTGGACTTGCGCCTAATGCAATTCAGAGGGTGACTGATTTGATAAATGCAAAAGCAAGTGGGGCCAGGACTGGTGTCCAGACCCCCAGTCGCCCGGACACAGGCTCCCACGGTGGGGCAGCCTCCTCCCTGCCTTCCATAGGGTCTGATGTGACCCCATGTGTTTCAGGTTTTTACTGCCCAGAGGGCAGTGGAGAGCCCACCCTGTGTCCACCACACACCGTGGCAGCCACCCCTGGGGCCAAGCAGCAAGAAGACTGTGAGCCTTGCCCCCCTGGGCGCTGGTGCAAAGCTGGTGAGGCACCCGTGCTGCGGCCTGCCATGTGCTGGTCCTGAGAAGGGCACAGGGAGGCCCTTTGGGAGGTGAGGCAGGATGGAAAGGGAGAACAGCCTTCGCTCTCCAGGGGACCCAGCCACCCTCCCCTGTCCTGCCGGCCACTACTGCCCTGGAGGGAGGGAGACCCTCCCAGGAGGCCCCCAGGCCTGCCCGGAGCACACGTACCTGACAGCGGAAGGAGGCCAGAGTCGAGCAGAGTGCCGCCCCTGCCCTGCCGGCTACCACTGCCTGTCCCCAGGTGAGACACTGTCCCCAGACTGGAGGCTGAGGGCTTTGGGCATGAGAGGCCATGTGTCATCCCTTCTCTGCCTGCTGCTTTTGGCCCAGGTCTCTCTTCCTTTGAAGGCCATCTGTGTCCTCCAGGCCACTGGTGTCCGGAGGCTCAGGGTGCCTTTCTCTGCCCACCGGGCACCTTTCGGACAGAGCCGGGGGCAGCATCATGGGAAGACTGTGAGCTCTGTCCCCCTGGCCACTATTGCCCAGAGGCCAAGCTGGGGGGCCCTGCAAATGTGTTCGCAACCCCCTGCAGAGCTGGGTCTGAGTGTCCTGCAGGTGAGCCTGCCAGCCCTGCCCCCTTCCCAGCCCCTGCCCCTGCCCCTGTCCTGTCCCCACGCCCTCACCCCTGAGGCTTAGCACAAAGCATTTCACACAGGCATGGCCACTGCAGGCTGTCTGCCCAGGCCCCCAAGTCTCGCCCAGTCTTTGGTTAGATCTGTGCCACCTGGAGCTCCCCAAGGCCAAGGTGCTTTGCTCTGCCCCTTCTCCCCCAGGTGCTATGGCTGAGGTCCCATGCAGGGCTGGCTCCTACTGCGGGCCCCAGACTGGGGTCCCCCCACTCTGCCCTGGGGGCTATGCCTGTCCTGCCGGCTCCCCCACCTACACTGGCCCAGGGCAGCTGTGAGTACCCCCACCTGCATGAATCTGAGCACCCCCACATCTCAGCATCTCTGCCTCCAGGCTCTCCAAACAGGAGTCAACCACTCAGGGTCCCAAAGGATTCAGGGCCATAGACCAGCACTGGGTGACACTTTGGGCTTTCCAGCTCCTGCCTCTGTCCAGAGAAGGGGAGAGAGGATGCATGTTGTACTGAGAGGCCCTCGGCTGTCTGCAGGGCCACGCTGTGTGGGGGGTTGCCAGACTCAGCAGATAAAAACACAGGAAAGCCAGTTACGTGTGAATTTCAGCTAAACAACAAATACATTTTTACTATACATGCGGCCCTGAGCATATTTAGGAGTTTATAGGCATTGTTTATTCTACGTTAATTACTTTTGTTCATCTGGAACTCCACTATTAATGGGCGTCCTATAGTCCATCTGGTGACCCCAAGCCTGTGTCTAGCACTCCTGACTGTGTCCCCTACTCCCAGCCCATCAGATCTTGTCCACACATCTCTTTGCCCAGGTGAGGTGGGCAGGGAGCACAGTCCTGGACACTGCTGGATGGCCTGGCCACCTGGGCATGGCTTGGCCTCCTCCAGGAAGGCACCCTGACCTACTTAGGGTGCAAGGCAACTCCAAGGGCCCCCGTCTGGGATAATACTGGAGGTTTTCCTCACCCCTAACCCCACCAACAGCTTAAGGCCCCAGCCTGGGAATGTGGCGGGGTCGGGGGTGGGGGTGGGCTCCTGCTAGTGAGATGAGGAGCAATGACACACACAGACCCCATCAACGTGAAACTGGGATATGGGGGGCTGTGTCTCTGCAGCTGCGTGTTTCCCTACTACTGCCCCCCGGGCAGCGCCCATCCACATGCATGTCCTGGGGGCTCCGAGGCCCTGAACAGGAGCGGCCTCAGAGTCTCCCAGGACACCTGCTGCCACCTCTGTGATGCGGGCACCTACCGCAGCCCAGCCCTGGATGCCCTGCCCTGCCAGCCCTGCCCTCCTGGATTCAGCTGCCAGCAGGGTGGGTTTGGGGGCCCAGGCCTTGAATCAGGATAGGGCAGAGCCTAGTAAAGAGGATGGAGGTGGCCGGCGGGGAAGGATGCACCCAGGGAATGGGCCTGTGGTCATTGGCTAGGCCAGTCACCTGATAGAGAAAGACCCAGGAACACGGGGAAGACACAGGTGAAGGAAGGTGCCAAACAGGTAGGTGCCATATCTGTCCTGATGTGAGGGTTAGAAGACCTGTAAGTTACAGGCTGTGCACACCATGCAAGTTAGTTTGGAGCCAGCAGCCCAGGAATTCCTGAATATAGGACAATCACTGCCCCCTGGTCAGCAGTGTTGGCTACACTGCCTTGTGTCTGCTGAGATGGAAGCATGCTCTGAGGCATCCAGGGGACCAAGGAGACAGGTGGTAGGGTGAAGTACATACAGTAGGGTCCAGGGCCTCTGCTGTCTTCCCTATAGTCTAGATTGTCCACTGTAATTGCTTTTCATCTCCTTTCCCATCCCCCACCCCACCCCGGCAAGCTCAGTCTTACCCTGGACTCTGTCATTTCTCTCCCTGCCCCCGTCAAAGTCCCTGGCTCAGAATTCCCGTCCATTTCCCTGCAGGGACAGAGTGGTACCACAGCCAGCCCTGCCCCGTGGGGCACTACTGTCCTGCTGGGGCCCACAGCCCCAGGCTCTGCCCCGCTGGAACCTTCAGAAACAGCAGCCAGGCGGGGGCGGCCGCAGACTGCCTGCCCTGCCCCAGCAATACCTTCAGCGCCCTGCCAGGCCAGACTGGCTGCCTCCCCTGTGGGAGCTCTGCTTTCTCTCCCCCTGGTGAGTCACGCATGTCCCTCTGCCCACCTGTCCCCACCAGCCAACTGCCCTGGTCTCCAGATATGGACCCAGCACCCAATCTCCTGGGCCTGCAGCTTTGAGGATCAGCGGTGTAGACCTCATCATTGAATGAAGCTGTTTGCATGTGAGGGAATAGGCGTCCCTGTGGCCCCACTGTCCCGCTGTGGGGGTGTGGGTGTGTATAAAATCAGAGTCTGTGTGATGACTTCAACAAGCAAATGAGTGAGTGTGGGGAAACAGGCTCAGAGGGGCTAAGTGACTTGCTGTAGATTACTGTGCTGTGGGGACTGCTCTCAGACTGTCCAGATGCTGCCTGCTCTTACAGGCGGCAGCCACGCCCCAAACCCCAGGCCCCTGCCTGTCCTAGAATCAAGCAGTAGGATCCAGTGCAGACCCAAAGCCAGTGGCTCCTAGCTGACCCCCTTCCTCCAGTCATTTCAAAGAGGTGGGCTCACATGGTTGTTGCTATGCAAACCATCTGCACAGGGCCCACTGTGCGGGCTGGAGAAGCAACCAGATAATTCCACAGTGGGAAGTGTAAGTCATCCATCCACATCAGACACGTTCAGGCTTTGTGGGGCTCCCTCCAGCCCTGCCCCCCACTGAGGACTAATCCCACATCTCCACTGACAGAGCTGGCAGGCTTCATCTAGCATCGTAGTAAGAGCACTTACCACATGCCACGTGCTGTTCTAAGTGCTATCCAGACGTCAACCCACATGATCCCCATACCAACTCTGAAACAGGCGCAGCTGCTGTCATCCCTTTTCACAGATACACACACGGGGCTGCACAGAGTACGAGAAACTTGCCCACATCCAGACGGTTAGTGACAGAACCAGGATTTGAACCCAGTGCAGCTGACTCCCAAATTCCTGCTCTTAACCACCATGCCACCTTCTGTGGTGTGACATCAGGCTGTCAGGGAGTCTACCATCGTTTCTTGTCTTCTGGTTAAGGCATTCTGTCTCTGAGGTGGCCAGCCCCCTGAATCCTGTGACCCCATTACCTATAGGTAAGGGACTGAGGGAAGCAGGCCCAGGGGGTGTGGTCTCAGTTACAGCCCACTGGCTTGTATGGAACAGCCTAGCACAGCCCATTGTTATAGTCACTGAGGAGCACCTTTTTAACTGGTTTATCTTGAATGATCATCAGGGAATTATAGTTACACCTTCTATGGGCATGTGATTGTAATTTTTGTGGTGAGATTTAGGTGGCACTAATTAAACTTTTTAAGGCTACAATTATTGCAGCCATTCTGTGACATAGAACCCTGGGCTGTATTAGTTGGCTTGGGCTGCCATAATAGAATACCACAGATGGGGCGGCTTAAACAACAGAAATTTACTTTCTCACAGTTCTGGGGGCTGGAAGTACAAGATCAAGGTGTCGGCAGGTTGCTTTCTCCTGAGGCCTCTCTCCTTGGCTTACAGGTGGCCATCTTCTCCATGTCCTCACATGGCCTTTCCTCTGTGCTCGCACATATCTGGTGTCTGTGTGTCCAAATTTCCTCTTCTTATAAGGACACCAGTCAAATTGGATCAGGGCCCTCCATAATGACCTTATTTTAACTTAACTACCTCTTCAAAGGCCCTATCTCCAAATACAGTCAGCCCATGGCAGGGGCCTTAACCATCTCTGGGTTGAATATTAGATAAGCCAGTATCTCTTCAGGCTTGCGTTCTGATTAGGTTCCTCAACTTCTACAAGAAGAAGTCCCACTCCAATTAATATATTCTCCCTTTTATTACCTAAAAGCTTTTGTGTAGGGTATCAGTTAAGGCTCAATAGATATCCAATTGGCCTGGCACCTATATTGAAAGATCACTTGTGGTTGTCATTGACTGAGCATCCCATATACATGTGGGTCTGTTTGGGAATTTCTTCTGCTCCATGGATCTTTTATTTTGTCACCCTGTCCTAATCACTGTAGCTTTAAATAAACCTTAATATAGTAGTCTATGCCTTCCAACTTTGTCCTTCTTTTAAGGATTGTCTTAGCTACTTGTGGCCCTGGAATTTCTGTATAATCAGATTATATCCACAAGAACAATTGCTGGAATTTCTATTGGACTGCATAGGAACAGATCCTTTGGAAAAGAAATGACATCTTTATCACATCAAGTCTTCTAATCCTTGAACATGGCTTAATTTTCCTCTTATTTAGGTATTTATTTTTCTAAGTAATGATTTTTGTTTTATCGTATTTTATGGGTAGAGCCCTTGTATATATCTCATTAGCTTTATTACTAGGTATTTGATATTATTGTAAAAGCTATGAGTTCATTTTCTAATGTTATGTTTGTCTAAAAATGTCTTTTTTAGCTTTATTCTTGAAATATATTTGAGCTAAGCAGAGGATCGTAGCTTTACAGGTTTTTTTTCTTTCAGCATTTCAAAGATACATTTCCATTGCCTCCAGCTTCCATTATTTTTTGGGGGAAGTCTTCTATAAGTCTTATATTTGCTCTTTGGAGGTAAATGTCCATTTTTTTCTGGTGCTTTTTAAGATTTTCTCTTTGTCTCTGGTTTCTAGGAATACAACTAAAGTTTTCTTCCCATAGTTTTTCATTGACTTTATCATACTGGAGTTTCTTTAGCACTTTTTGAATCTGTGGTTTGATGTCTTTCATCAATTTTGTGAAATTCTCAGCCATTATATTTTAAAATATTTATTATGCCTCATTTTTCTCCTTTCCTTTTGAATCTCCAAATTACATGTGTTATTCTCGTTTTTAACCATGCACGTCTGTTGCACTATTTTCTGCATTTTTCATCTTTTATTTTCTCTTTCTGAGAATCAATCTGGATACTTTTTTGAGACCTATATTCCACTTTATAAATTTTCTCTTCAGCTCCATATAATCTGCTACTAAATACATTTTTTATTTTACTTTTTGCTGTTAAATCTTCCAGTTTTAGAATTTCTATTAGTCCTTTGTGGTTCCCTGATCGCTGTTGAAATTCTCCATCTTGTTACTTGATTTATTCAACATACTAATCACAGTTGAAAGTGTATGTCATGTCTTATAACTCCAATATTTGGATTTCTTGAGAGCCTGTAACTATTGTCTGGTTTTTTTCTCTTGATTTATTAAAAATTCGTGTGGTTTTGCATGACTGTTTTTGTTTGTTTGTTTCTTTAATGCTAGACACTGTGAGTGAAAATTGTACATTTGAAATTCTGGATGCTGTTGCCTTCCTCCATAGAGGAATTACTGTCAATCTGGAAGGCAGTTATAGTGGGAATGAATCAGCTCAACTCATCAGGGATTCATAAAATCAGATTTTGACGTTAGTCTCCTTGTAATCAGTCCTTATTAGGGGATAACCCTTCACTGGTCCAAACTGATACCTGTAATGTTTCCCAGAGGCCCTCATTTTTCTTGGGTCCCATTTTTGTTCCCATGGCCTTATGAGACATCCTGAAGCTGCACGCACCTTTTCAGCCTCTCAACTGCACCTGTTGAAGTGATAAATGCCTTTTGGGGGAATGTGATGCCAGATGTGGGGCCCATCCCCCTGGATTTCCTTTCTCTCCAGAATTTTTTTCCCCTTAAGTCCTCAATTAAGTTCTCCATTCCTTCAAATAGATGTTTTCTATTTTTGTCCTGGATTTTCTAGTTGTAAGTCATAGAAAAATAGGCCTGGAAAAAAGCTACTCTGCCATTGCTAAAGATAGAAAAGTTCTTGTAAGTATATGCACTTTCATGAACTGCCTCTTTCTCTTTTGGGATGAGGTGGAGGGGTTTTTTAGTTAATTTATTTTAAAGGTTATCTCTCAGACACTAACCTCCAATTATTATTCTTAGTGCCACAAAGGCACTGTGGAACATACTATGATAGGTATAATAGGAAGAAAGAGAAAATAACAAATTGGCAGAAGTGTCAAGTACTACAAGAAAAGAACCCAAAAAGTCCAGAGGGTACAAAATAGGAAGAAATTGCTTCTGCATGGCAGGGTCAGAGAGACTTATGGAAAAGTTTGTATTTCAATGGGAATGAAGATGAGTAAAATCTTGTTGGGTTGAGATGGTGGGGGGAAGATATTAAAAATAATGCTCTTAATATAGGTTGCTGGTTAATTCTATAGTCATCAATGCTGGGCCAAGGGTTCAGACTTTTGTTCAAAGTATTCTTTAGCAACAGAATCCTTCTTCAAAAGAATTTAAACTTAGGGAATTAATATAAAACATGTAAAAGCAACATAGTTCAGATTAAACTGAAGATGAAGTCTCATAACTGCTCCCACTTGTCACTCCTTTGCCCAGGAAGTCCCTAAGGCATGTCTGTGGAACCACAGGACTCCACGAAACCAAGTTTGAAGCCCAGTGCTCTGGACAATGAGGAGACATGGAAGACTCCTAGATCAGGGTTGTGCCCAGGGTCTCAGGAAGGAGCTGGTGCAGACGCACCAAAGAACATTCTAGAGTTTAGGGTATTAGAGGGGACTTGACCATCTAGAACCTGACTGGTAGGAGAATATTCTGTGTCACTTCAGTGTTGAGTAACTCCCTTCTCAATAGTAAAAATAATTATCTCTCTTTTTAATGGTCCCTAAATTCTTTGGGGGAAAGAATATGGCTATGTCAGCAAAAATTCTCAACTTTCAGTCAATTTATTCAACTAATTCTGCTTTGGGTCTATTGTCACAATGCACTGGGTCTGCATGGTCACCTTCAGCAAACTAAAGGGCTACACGTCACATATGTACTTTTTTGTTTTCCACGAGCAGACACCAATCCCAATAGGGGCAAACAGGCCAGAATCGCAGCGAATCCTAGTCTACTACAAGGTCCCGATCACGTCCCTCCCCCAGCTGCCTCTCCCAGAACATTCACCTGGACCCTTCTGCTCCCAAACAGAACTTGAACTTCCCCACCCATCACCTTCTTCTCTGCTGAGAATCCCTGTCCTCCCGGTTGTTCCCCTCTAATCCAGTTCCTCCTTCAAGCTTTCTGAGGGCCTCAGTCTCTGCAGACCTCTCTCCTCTTGCCCCCTAGACAGAGGCCTGTGTCCATCCTCCAGGACTGGCCCACGTGGCTTTATGAAATCGTGGACAGGAGCCACACTTTCCACAAGACATCGAGTGTTTTCACTGACATCAGTAGTTCTCGGCCCAGGCTATACCTTAAAACACTCAAGGGACTTTTAAAAAGCTAGTTGCCCTGCCTCACCTCAGGGATTTTTACTTAATTGGTTTCAAAGGGGACCTGGGCATTAATGTTTTTTAAAAGCTTCCTGATGAATCTAATACAAAGTCAGAGTTGAAAAACTCTGATTTAGAAAAATCTCACTCCCCACTCCCCCCTCACACACACACACGAATACCCTAAGGCCAGTGCTTTGGTAGAGGTCGGTGCCTGGATCGCAAACTCCCTGTGGACATGGATGGAGAGTTGACTGCAGTCTCTGGCTCACTGTCTGGCCTGTGATGGGTGGCAGGACTTCTGTGTCCCCAGGTGCCTCCCACTGCACATGTCGAGGCCTGAACAGGGTCTTCCAGAAGTCAGATGGGTCCTGCATCTGCCAGGCAGGACACGAGTCCTATGATAGGAGGGGCCTGGACAGTGACGAGACCAACAGCGATGAGGACTGTCAGCCCCAGGTACCCACCGCCCTGCAGCTGGGACAGGAGGCCTGAGGGGCTTGAGGATGGGCAGGCATGTGGAGGCCTCTGCATGCTGGGCAATTTCCATGGGCTGTTTGGTTAGTGTTCGGCACTTTGTGCTGGGGTTATTAGTTCCTGTGCAAAGAAGACCTAGGAGAAGTCACGTCCTGACCAGACACATGTTTTTCCCTGGTCACAGAGCCAGTGCTTCCACATTGTGCAGGATCCTGGAGCGATTCAGTCATCCACATGCCCCCATCCTCCTGCCCCCCACTGTGTGCAAGTCTCTTGTTTGAGTCAAAGAGCATTTTGTGGTAGCTGACAGCTGGCAGGGTCACTCTGAGAGCTATAGGGTGAGCATTGAAGGGCAGATGTCCCTGGAGCATTGTAAAACCAGGAGCTGGAGCACATCATGCCCAGGCACACAGCCCTGGTGACAGCAAGGTCCAAGGCCTACCCCTCACAGCCCGCTCTGGAGGCCCTGCATCTGATTTCTTTTTTAAATGTAGTGATGTCTTTAGAGGGGCCCACCTCAGCCAGCCAGCCACATGGTACAGAAAGCCCTGACACTCTGGTCTTTCTGACATCTGCAGCATCCTGACCTCACAATCCTACTTCAAAACCAGTCTCACCATCACCTCCTCCAGGAACCTTTCCCTGACTATCCCCTGCCTTCACTCTGGCTGATCCTTCCTTACTTCCTAGGAAGTCATCTTAGCTGTTGTGTGTGGGCCTGGGTCCAGTCTCCCCAGAGCTGGACCTCCCAATCATCTCCCCAAGGCAGCAGGCTTCCATTATTTGTATGGGTCCCCTCTACCTGCAAACCTAACCCTAGTCTTAGCACATTGACTATATGGCCTCTCAGAGGAGCTCACTTGCCCAGAAGCCCTGCCTGTGTCTCTGGAATGTTCTCTGGTGCTGAGAGAGCCCCCACCCGAGACTCTCCTCCCACAGGTCGCTGAGCGCTGCTCACCTGGAGATGTTCGCCTGGCCACCACCCGCAAGTGTGTGTCCCCTCAGCAGCACAACTGCTCCTTCTTCTGTCACCCAGTGGGCGGGGAGCTCAGCGCTGAACTGGGCATGTGAGTGACAATGGCCACTTAGAACAGAATGACGCCACCTTCTCCAGACAGGTCCTGACAGCCCCAGAGGGCCCATCCAGAGGGTGTTGGCAGAACCCCACCCTGATGGGAGACTGAACTGAGTGCAAGCTCCTTCCAGAAGCTGCCCATGGTAGCACCTCTGAGAGGGGAGTGGGTCCATGCCAGCCAGGGGCCAGCATCCAGGACTGAGGAGGTGCCATTGCGAGGGAAGGGGAGGCCCACACCCGGGCCACCAAGCCGGCTGCCAGAAGCTGACCCTGGCTAGATGCCAAGCTCAGAGACGCCGAGTTTGTCCTGAGTTCTAGTGCTCCAGCTGACCTGTGGCCTGTACAGAGTCGCCCAGGGGACAGGGGATGGGGGCTGCTGTGCAGGGAGGCCTGCTGAATAAACGGGACTACTCCAGGGTGAACAGTTCTCTGTCCTGACTCTTGCCTCAGCAGGATGCCCAAAGCAGAAATGCAGGGCCTCCCAGCCATGGTCAGGCTCTCTGTTCCAGGCATGGCTCCCACTCTGGGAGATGCCCACTGGCACAGAAGCAGGGCGAGAGGGCATGCTAATGGGTCATCTGTGGTCCTCCATTATACGTGCAGTGGCTACCTGGGAAGATTAGACAACTCTGTCCTCACAGGGATCTGTGCTGGCTGCGGGACATCAGGGAACGGGCAGCCCTCCCTGTCTCTTCTCCTGCAGCTGCCAGTGCCGGGAATATGTCTCAGCTGAAGAGCTCTGTGACGCCCAGTGTCTGGCCAGGGCCCCCCAGATCTCCCTGGCCTGGGGCCCCGGCAGAAAGCTGATCCTCAGCATAAAGGGTGAGGCTGGAGACAGCACCCAGCAGGTGAGCCCTGATGGGTAACAGCCTCTACCTGCTGGGGACTGGCAGTGGGGGGAATGGAACCACCAGCGCACCTGTGGCTATAGAAAACCCAGGCACCAAGTCTAAAGAAACCAGGCGTCAGAAGGGAAGGCCCATGTGATATTGGGTCTTCCAGCCTAGTCTGCTGCTATCTGCATGGATTTCCATTCTGTGGGCTGGAGGGAAGTGTAGGAAGGAGGCAGAAGTGGCATTTCTTATGTCAATGTCAACCATCCAGTTTGATGCCACAAGGGACCTTAAAAAGAAAGAATCAGTTTCACTTTATAGAAGTATGACCAAGGCCCAAGGGTGTGAAATCACTCACCACGGTCATAGACCTGGTAAGTCTCCTGTCCCAGCCTGAAACTCCGGCCACAGGGCAGGGCCATCTCTGGCCACCAAAGTGCTAGCCATGGCTGCCTTCAGGGCCTCAGAGCTTCCTTAAGGTGGGAGGGGCTGGTCCTGGTCCCAGACGTAGGTGGGCGCATCCTAAATGTCTGTCTGCCAGAAGGTTCTGGGTGGCTGTGTCTGTTTGCCACTGTTGGGTGGGGCCTGGGCAGCAGATTTGGGTGATAGGGGATGTTACTAAGTCGTTCCATAAGCAGGATGTTTGCAGGTGGAGAGAAAAGAGGGGCAAACGATGACCCCAGACAGGGGCCTGACCTGAGTCAGACATGTTTTCTGGAGATGAGGAGGGACCCAGGCACGGGAGGCCACCTGGAAAGGTTTCAGTGAGGAAGGAGACATGTTCAGAGGGAGGCTGACCAGGGCCGTGCTGAGGGCTGTCTGGGTCTCTGTCTGTCCATCTTTGAAGCTTCACTGCCCCCGTCCCCCATGCTGCATGTCCTCAGGAAGTGGTGAGCACTCTGGGCCCAGACCAGTTCTTCCGCGGGAGTGCTAGAGTCCATCTGGTCCAGTGTGGCCCACATGGCATCTTTGGCTTCGTCATCTCCAGAGAGGACATGCTTGGCTCCTTCCTCCTGGGTAAGTGGTGGCACCCTCAGCTGGCTGCAGCCCCAGCTTGCCCAGAGAGGGTGGGATGGGTAAAGGGTGCTGGGTGGGGGAGGGACAGGCTGTGGGGGGGACAGGTGAGGGGGAGCAGGTGAGGGGCATGGCTGCACTCTTCCAGGAAGTGTGTGGGATGGGGACCTTTGTGCTGGGGAGGTGAGAGTCTGTCAGGGGTCGCAGAAGACCCACAAGGCAAGGGTGGCAGAAGGGCTGGCACTGTCCCTAAAAGGGAAGCGAGACAGAGTGGGGAAAACAGGGAGGCACGTGTGCCCCCAGGCAGGCCCCAGGTGCTTCAGCTTTCCTTCCTCCAATTCCCCAGGACCACCTGTGTCCAGCACCCAGCTACAAAGGCGGCATCGGACTGCAGACCCGGAGCACCCTGTCCCCCAGACCTCCAGCATCCACCCCCAGATTCCAAACCCGGTGGTCTGCCTGGTAAAAGGGGATGTGATCCTTTTCCAGCTTCAGATTCTTCCGCACAGTGAGCACTGCCTCCGACCTGCCCCTGCCCCGCCTCTCATCCCTCCCCTGCCCAGCTGTCCTCTCTGCAGCCCAGGGGGTGTCAGACCTCTGTGCCTCAGGAGGGGGCAGGGGGGAACTCACCAAGGTGACCTCTGACTTGGCTCCACTCCCCCGGCAAGTCTGCTTTGTGCCAGGCAGCTGTCCACAGGGCCAGGCCCCTCAGCCTCCTAGCAGGCCCCTCTCTCAGGGACACTTTGGGTTATAAGGACTATCTCCCTCTCTGTGACTCCCAGCCCCGGGACCTCACAGAACAAGCCTGTGTCCTCTCCACAAGATGGTTTTCACTGGGAGCAGAGGGCCTGACTCCCTCCCATTCTCTGGCTGGCGCTTCCCCAGGGTGCAGCTATAGGTGATTGGGCACCCCTACCCCCAACATCCCACCCACCAGCTGCCACCCTGACGCCAGGTGCCAAGACAGGCTTGCTGCTCCAAAGGGACGAGAGAACCCAGGCTGGCTTTCTCTCAGACACAGACACAGGGATGTCTGTGTGTGGGGGGGTTTTTGGGGTTTTTTTTCCCCTATTGTTGTTGTTGTTTTTTGAGGACAGAAACTATGGGGCAGATAAGTATGGAATAGAAAATAAATACAAATGCAGGATGCTTTGCTAATTGTTTTATAATCGCAACAACGCCATCCAGAGAATGCCCTGTACAAAATAACACAAGAAAGGCACAAAAACGGAGGTGTCCCCCAGACAAGGCTGAGGATTTCTGCGTCTGGTTCGGGAATTTCAGCTGCAGTCCTGGCTTTGGGATGGGCTATGGGGTACATGGCACAGCCCATGCTTTTAACCCAATTTGAGCAGAAGGGCCGCTTGGCCTAGGTAGAATTCCATGAGGTGTCTGGTCTCACATGTCACGTAATTACCTGAGTCCCTCCCCAAGAAGCAGTGCCAATCCATGAATATCAAAGGGGGAAATGGATTCCGGACAATGAATTCCAAATGGGACATCTGTGCCCTGGGCTCCAGGCCCAGCTCCCCCATCAACCCAGGGGACCTGGGTCAACCTGCACCTTCCCTAAGTCTTGGTACTTACACCTGTGAAATGACCCAATGCATCCCCCTTCTCCACACAATAGGGGAGGTGATATCGGAGCCTCTTATTATTGGGGTCAGGGTGTGGGGGTGGCCTGAGATGAGGAGCTGACACCTGTGCAGGGAAAAGTCCTCCTTGTGCACAGGGAATGGCCAGGCTGGTGTTTTTGCCAGAGGCCCCGCCCACCCCCTTGGCTACTCACACTCAGCCATGCACAGCAGGTATCGTGTTCCTGCTGCGTGCCCATACTGTGCTGCGTGCCAGGGGTATAGAGTTGAACAAGTGCCATCTCTGAAGGTACCAGGGCTGTGCCCTACCATAAGGGGCATCGGGGCCTGCTCAGCACGTACCAGTGTGTGCCGGTATGCTCGCTCTGTAGGCTAAGGGAACACAGATCTTGCCCTGGCACCAAAGTTATGAATGTCCCATTACATACACGTACATGGGAGGATGGAACATCACTTCATTGGAAACATTTCGTAGACGCTGAGGACAGGACGCAGAGCTCCCTACATGCACGCTGCCCAGGGCTGGGGACGAGGAGCCTCTGAGACCCAGCCCAACCCCAGCTCATTCCCCAGATCGCTCAGCCAGTCACTACCCCGTGTACCAGAAGCAGCACCTGTTCAACAGCAACCCCCACTGGGACTCAGGGCCCTTCAGGAGACTCAACCACCTAGTGCGGGAGACTCACCTCAGCTTCTCCAGGTGACCAAAGCGGGGCTACCTAGGAGCTCGGAGGGGCCTGGGTTCTCCAGCACAGGTCACAGCCTCTTCTGCAGCGGGCGATGCAGGACATGGGAGACCCCAGGCAGACACGGTTTCCTGCCTGCACAGATGGGGTGGGGGGTGGGGTGTCACAGGCAGCTGCCCAGGACCACAGTACCCCTGTGTGTGGGGAGAGACCACCTAGACTGGGCCTGGTGTGAGCAGCTACCTCTCCCCACATTCTGGCCTTTGCCTCCCAGGTTTGCCCACCAGTTCCTTGATCTGGGTACGTATGTGATTCAAGACAATGGGCTGCCGGAGAGCATGGCCGTGGTGCTGGTAAAGGAGAAGAGGGAGGCCTGTGGTCCGGGCCTGGCCCCATTTCAGCCCTCTTCCCCGTATCAGCTCGCCAGGCATGGCGTCCTCAGGCGCAAGCTGCCAAACCTGGGCCCCAACTGGACAGTGATCACAGGTACGGACCCTGGACAAAGAAGAAGGCATGAGGAAGGGGCATGAGAGAAGAGCAGGACCCCCAGAGCAGTGTCCTGGAGGGGCCCTCACATGAAGGGTGCAGGGTGGAGGAGACCCCCCCATTGGACTGCTGACATCATAAAGCCCCCAGGGCTGGAATGAGAGTTGTTTTACAGGGGCCTGTGAGGCCAAGAGACCAGGGACATTGAGGCAAGTGCAAAATGGTGCTCTCCAGGGCCCCGGCAGCCTGGGGAGGTTCTGGGTGGTGACCATGTGGCCCCCATCTTGCAGGGGTGCTGCTGGCTGTTGGCTTGGCAACTGCAGTGCTGACGGGCCTGGGCCTAATGCTGAGGCCCTCGCTGGTCCAGGCCTGCCCCATGAGGGCTTGGAGGCCTCAGGGGAGGGGCCTCAGGGAGCCCTACGTGCCTGCTGAGTATGCGCCCTGCAGGGACAGGTGAGTTCCCCCCTGCACCTCACGCTTCTCCCAGCCCTGCCCCAGCCATGAGCAGCCGTGAGAAGCTCATGTGGACTCAGTACAGGGTGCCTTCCTGAGCTGACCTGCGGTTCATTGCTGGCCCTTGGGGCCAGGCAAACCCTACTAAGGCTGGTGCTTCCTTCCAGCAGTCTGCTCCATGGAGTCTGGGGTTTTTGGGGCTCTGGAGAAGGAGCCAATTCCCAGGAGACAGCCATTGCCCGGGGCGCAGGTACCACTCTGATGTGTGGCATATCCCTTCTCTGTCTCCCTGCCCTGTACCCCTCCTCACCCAGATACATGCTCTGGGGGACATCCCATGTTTCTACAGCACTGACAGTCTGTGGGACACTCATGCTGTCCATGTGGTCCTCACAACAGCACCTGGATGGGGCTGTTTCCAGGTGTGTACTACCCTCATATGATAGACAGAGACTGCGGCTCAGGGAATGTGAGTGGCTGGCCCAAGGTCCCCAGGTGGTCAGGGCTGAGAGACGGTGCCTCTGGGTTTGGGGCAAGAACTCTCTGACCTCTACTGTGCTTGCGGACCCAAGTGCAATCAAGTCCTGGTTAGCTGGCCTCGCTCACCATAGGGCAAGAAAACAAGGACTGTCCACAGGGCCACTTTACAGGATCACACAGGTGCCCAGCAGTTCCTCTACACACCTGGAGAACTGGGTATTGCCTTGGGGCTCAGGAGGATCTGGGGGGGGGGGTCCACGTTTCCTCGTTCCCACCTGGCTCCCAGCACCCACTGTGAGCAGGAGGTGTGTAAGAGGGGCATGGAGAGCAGGCCCCATGGAGGCGAGACCCTCACCTACTTGGAAGAAACAGCTGGGCTGTGTCACCTTGGACAACGTCCGATGGAAGGGGAGAGGAAGGGTCTGGTAGTTCTCGCTGGCTTGGCTTCATACAGCTTAGCAGTGGCCTCCATTGGTTTTGGTTTTTTTTAAGAAGAAAAATTAATATTTATCAAGTTTCTACTGTGTGCCAAGTAATGGTTCTTAACTGCAGAGCTGCAGGACCGAGGAAGGCAGCTGAATACAGCGGCCCGGAGGAAGCAGTGAGGGAATGGTTACGAGCATGGTCGTGGGGTCAAACCAGCACCGGAGTCTCCCTAACTGTGTGAGCCTGAACACAGGCCTGCACACACACTCACACATACACACTTACATACACACACTCATACATACATACACACACACTCACACATACACACACATACATACATACACACATATACACACACTCGCATATACACTCATGCATACATACACATACACACACATACACACACACGTACATTCACTCAAACACATACACACACACTCACCCATACACACACACACACACACACTCATACACACACACACATTCATATGCACACTCACATATACACATACTCACATACACATTCACATACACACATTCAAATTCACACACACTCACACACACACACGCCTATCTAAGGCTGGCCTGCCTCTGTGCAGTCCCTGTCTCTGCTTTGTCATGGGGCTTGGTGGCGCCATCACTTTCCTGATGAAGGCTCTGAGCAGGGAGGACACTAGGGGGCAGAGAGGACTAACTGAGTTCAGGACAAGTCTCCCCTTTCCACTGTGATGAGTGGGGTGGGCTGCTGAGCCTGTGCAGTGAGGACACAGGGAGGTACTACATACCTCCCTGTGAGCATCAGAGACCGATGCCAGCACTTTAACCCCCCTGGGTGCTAGGACAGATGCTTTCCACTAGAGGACTGGTCTAGGGGAGGATGGAGCCCCCTTTACTGTGGGGTATGTGACAGTGCAGGTGGAGGGGAGGAGCTTGATGGAATGGGAGATCCCAGTCCTTTTTCTGAAAAGCTGCCCTCACACCCCCCTTCCCACCTGACTGGCTGGGAGCTCAGGGGACAGATGCCACCCTGGCCATAGCCAGAGAACACGAAGGCAGAGCTGGCTGTTCACGGGCCAGGGCCTGTGTGTTGCCTGTAATGAGCCCCCATCACTTTGCCAGCATGAACGGAGCTCCCCTTTCTCCCCACATGCACCCCCTGGCCCAGAAAAGGGCAGCGTATGGGGGTGGCAGTGGACGCTCCCTCAGCCTCCTGCAGGGGCTGTCTCACCAAGCACAGGCCAGCATGCCTCACCACCTTGCCTCCTTCTTCCTCAAGATGCAGCTCCCCAGGAGAAGGACCTCCCATTCCCACAGATCCTTCTAGCAGAGCAGAGGGAGAAGGAGGTCAAGGGATGTAAGACCCTCAGCCAGGGACGTTCCCACAGGGGTTGACAGAACCTCTCTCGGGCCAGCAGTCTCGATGGGGTTGCCTTGATGTGAAGTTACCTGCTCTCCTGGCACCAGTCTGGGTCACATGCCAGCCTAAAAGCTAGAGGAGGTGCCTCAGCCCAACAAGCATTTAGTGAGCACCTGCTGTCTGCGAGCACAGAGGGGGACAAGGCAGTTATGGGAACGAACGTGGAGACAGTGGGATGAATGCAGGTGGAAGGAACAGACAGAGGTCAGACACAGCCTGCAGGACCCAGCAGACAGCCTCCTCGGGACAGGGAGACCGCTCAGCAAAGCAGTGTGACACCAGGACAGGACAGACAGCGGCTGCAGGGCCCCCTGTCAGTCACACCCACCCAGAGGAGGCCCTCTGCAGCCACTGCTATCTCCTGTACCTGAAGATCTCCCTCTTCACCTGCACCTACCAAGCCTGACCCCACCTTTCTTCTCTAGCGTTCATCCCTCCCCCATGCATGCTGCCTCCTACAGGCAGGCCTCTGCCCTGCTCTTGTGCCCTGCCTGCCAATTCCCATGGGAAGGACAAGGGAAGCTGCTGGGCCCTGCTCCTGCCTCCTGCCCATCCCACAGTCTCACTCCAAGGCACCCCCTCAGGGGAGCTGCTCCCGGCCAAGACCCTGGAGGACTTCAGCATCCGCACACTCTACGACAAGCTCGAGGACCAGAGCCTGCATGTGGCAGCCCAGCTCAGCAAGCACAGGAGTGATGCGCTGGCCTTCTACAGGGGTGCCAGCCAGCAGCTCCAGGGGCTCCAGGTGAGACAGCCAAGTCGCCAGCATCCCCATTGCCCCAAAGGACAGTCCTTCACCCAGAAGGATGTTGGTGACTGAATCCTGCCTCCTCCAGGACCTTCTACAGGGCCTCAGCTTGACTGAGACAGGGGCCAAAGCCACGGCCAGGACAGACACCGGGCAGCGTGAGGACTGGTGGGGCAACCACATGGCAGCTTCTCCCAGGGAGCACTGGCAGCGTCCTCCAGGTAAGGGGCAGGTACAGGGGTGGGGCCATGTGGACAGGTGGAAAGCCATAATATTAACTCTAAGTCTGTAGCGCACCCTGCTGCGCGGCTCCTGTTTACCGCTCACTTGGTGCTCAGCACCTACTGCGGTAACCAGACAGTGTCCACCCTGATCACAGATGGACCTGGGCCCAGTCAGGGAGGTGGTTTACCAGGGGAGGGGGAGGCTCTGATAACACGTGCAGAGGAGGCCTCCCCCAGCTCTCCTGCCTGTCTTGTGTGCAGTGTGACAGTGACCAGGACCCTAAGGCTCTTGACAGTCTCCCTAGTTGATACCTTTAGTTTTGTTTTCCTAAAGGGCTCCTTACAGAGGTTCCATCAGTACAGAAGAGTCGATAACAGGAAGCAAAAGTCCATGCTGCAGTGATGCCTAAAGGAAAGAGAGACTTGGAAGTGGGGTCTGAGATGGGCGAGAGGCACACACACAACCACACACAGGCTTCAGAAATGAGGAAGAATCAAGGGATGTCAGGCCGGCATCTGTGGTCAGATGAGACAAATGTGTCTGAGGGTGTCCTCTGTGTTCTCCTCCCCAGGTTGCACCCCCAGTGTCTGTCCCCTGGGCTTTCAGCTGGAGCTTGACAGAGTGATCGCAGCCCTGGCATCCACACATTCTCATGCACATGGGCCACCAGCTGGGACCAGCAGAAAGGTGAAAGCCTCCTCTCCCTTCCCCCACCAGCAAGGGAGCCCGCTGTGTGTGCAGAGCAGCTCCACCATCAGCCTGACCCATAGAGACTCGTTAGGCACACACACACTCACACACTATACCACACACACGGACACACACGGACCCAACCACACATGTGCACATTCACACTGACACATATATACACACATGTACATACGTCATAGTCACATGCAATACACACACACACACACACACACACACATACCAGGGCCTCGCACTCTGCAGGTGGCCCTACTCTGGTCACAAACCCAGGTGCACTACCTGTGCCCAGAGGTTTCCCCATGGCTTCAGCTCTTGCTCTCCTCCAAGAGCTTGTCAGAGACAGCCTCCCCAGGGCACTTGTGACCTGGCCCCTTACACCAAGCTCAGGGGCACAAGGCGTGGGTCCAGCCATGAGAGCAGCATGTCAGGTGGAAGGCAGACTCAGAGGGCCTCTGTTCAGCAGCCCTGCCTGGCACACCCCCAGTACAATAGGGCAGAATGCATGGCCATGGCACATGTCCCCGAGGGCCTGGAGGCATTAAAAGGGAGGCCATAATGTACATTGAGTATAATCTGCTACTGGGCAGGTGCTCAGGGACCCCAAGAGCACCAGGCAGTAAGGGGCGAGGCCACATGAGACATGGACTCCCAGGTCAGATCAGTGCATGAGCCCAGGCTGGCTGACAACGCTGCCCTCATTCACCACTGTTCTTTCCTGGGCCCAGGCTGAAGGAAAGTTACAGGAATGTTTGTTCTTCCAAGGCCTCTTGTCAGGTTGGCGAACAACCTCTCTCCACCTGTCAACAAGACCCTCAACAGGCGAGTGACGTGCTCCTGAAGTCCCCAGCCCCATCCTCAGATGGGGAGCACCAAAGTACAAGGTAGGGACAGGAGTTGCACCAAAGCCTGCACACAGCAGCTGTGTTCTTGGGGTGTGGCCCTCAGCTCCCTGGCACTGTGAATCTTATTTTTCATCGCCTGCACTGATTTAAAGCCTTCCCCTACTCACATCCAGCTACAAGGTCCAGGGCTCCCAGCCTGCAGTAACACGCCCCGCCCCCTCCCCCCCATTGTCATGGCCACTCTGGTTTGCCAAGGGCTTCACTGGTTTGAGTAACTCATCGGAACTCAAGTCATTTATTGGGGTTGTTCCCTCAGTGGGCACAAGGCCACATCCACTCTGGCTGACCCCAGACTTCATAGTCCCACCCACATCCTCTTGACTACCCCTCCTCTTCTGGGGGTGTAGCCACGGGGTCTCTTTGCTCTTCTCCCAAGTCAACCTGAGGCTGAGGTGGATGTGTTTGCTTATATAGACTTGATTTCTTTCCATGTGTTTTGTGTTGGTCTCAGCCATCAAAAACCAGTGTTATGGCTGGACCAACCCTTGTGATTCTTATTATGATTCCATCTTATGATGATTCCTTCAGCAGGAACCATCAGGGAACTTTGGAAAGACACAGGCGTATTACTCACAGGACCTGGAAATTACAGAGCACACTTGGGGCCACACATCCAGGTCCCACGCAGTCCTCCCTCCCAGAAACGTCTCTCCCATTGATTTCCTTACTTAAGGGGCCTAGAAAGCATATCCAAATAATTCAAGTGTCCTGCAGGCAAAGGGAGAGGAATCCAGATTCTCCTGCTAAAGCCCTGGAGCCTGGAGGATCAGGGACTCTGGGAAGAAAGGAGACACAGGGAAGGGCAGGTTGGGAATCCAGAGAGCTGGGTCTAGACTGGACTATGCCCTGAACACTGTAAATCTGGCACAGACACCTTCCGGCCAGTGTCACGAGTGACAACCTGAAGATAGGCCGTGCAGTCTTTGATGCAGGGCTGACGGAGTCAGAAAGAACAAATGATCATAATACAAAGCTCTGGAGGTTCCAAGAAGGCTGTAAGGACCAGAAGGCTTGGTGATGCAGTATCATTTGAGACAGACTACCATAAGGGTAGATAGGGGGCTAACCAGCAGAGGTGTTGGAAAGAGTGTTCCTGGAGGGGAACAGCATTGACGGCTACATGGAGGTGAGAAAGCTGAGGCAGGGCTCAGGAACTGAGGCTCCAATGCTCCTGGAGATGGTCCAGCCCTCTCATTTCAAGGCACGGAAACTGAGGTCTAGAATTGATTTGCCCACGGGGAGTCTGAAAAGCATAGTACTGTATTGACCAGGATCCCACCAGGAAGTAGCTTGCACATTCTAGATGGAAACCTGAGGTGGATATAATAAGCGTCGACGTATAAAGGTGTAGCAGATACATATAACCACACAAGTTAGCTCAGTTCCCTGGGCCCCCGTCTCCTCCCTCCCAGGTCCGGAGGGCAGAGAGCAGGTATTGGACCACAGAAAGAGCACCGTGAGGACAGACCCTGACGGGCACAGCCAGCCTGATGTAGGGAAGGAAAAAATCCTTTCCTCTACCCATCTGGTGGCAGGGCCCTGTAAATTAGATGGACAAAAACGATCCATAAGAGAAAAACCTGGAGAACCTGGAGCTGGGTGATGAGGCGCTCGGAGGGTGGTTAGAACAGGGCTCATGAGAAGGTCACACTATGTGGGGAAACAATGGCCCATGACAACTAGCCATAGCAGCGTTTTTATGTAAATTCCTCTGGTGGTGTCTCTGCGCTCGTAAGGATCTAGAGTCACCTCAGATGACTAACTTCTGTCCTTCCTTATGTGGGGCGAGGGGGTACCTTGAAAGGTGTGTCCTACTTTTAGGCAAATAGGGGGAGAGCAGAGAGCCATCCTTGTTTGTGCTTCTCACTGCCTTCAGCTCGAAATACTCCATACACCATATTTCAGGGTGGCAGGGAAGGCTGTGTGGGTGGTTAGTTCAGCTTCAAGGAACCCAAGGGTTTCTCAGTTTCTCCATCTCATCAGTCTCTCATTCTTCTCTAATCTCGGGCACCTCCGGGAGGAGTTAAAAGTGGCCACTGTCTTTTTACATATATTCTGGTTTGGGGCTTGGGGTATGCTACTGGGCAACAGAGGCCCAAAAGGGTGTCTCTCATTCCCTTATTCCCAGCCCCCAACAGGACCTGGGACCTGGACGACACCCCCAGGGTGACACCAATGGAAGAGCCAGGAGCCCAGGCTTGGGGCACGGTCACATGCGCCGAGGCTTTCCTGAGCTGCAGGTAGGAAGGAGCCAGCTGAGGCCAAGGCCCTCCTCATAGCAGGAGCACTGGACCACCTGATCTTGTGGGCACCTCTGAGGGTGCTGTGCTGTCCAGCTATCCCTCCTTCCAGCCCTGCTTGTCACCTACACACTGAGTGTGACTCGGGGACACAGATATCAAGCACAGGGTTGGAGAAAAAAATGACTGGGAGGGATATTTGGTGGAGAAAGAAGTTAGGATTGGAGAACACTGGTCAGGAAACTCATTGATTCAACCAACAAGCCCTCCCTCTTCTCTTTCATATTCGAGAGGGCAGGTCAGAGCCTGTAAAAGAATCTGCAAAACAACCGGAAAAACTCCAGAGGAGCCCAACAACAGATACGATTACATAATAACACAAAACAGGATTCTCTAGGTCAGAAATTTACCACTAACAAATACTTTTGCTCTATTAGAAAAAAATGTGTAAATGGCCCTAAGAGAAAGGAAATACAAACCAGTAAAATTCTATGAAAAATGTTCAAAGATGCAGAGAAATGTTAATTAAACTAAACTAGATGCTTTTTTATCTACTTAAAATATTTAACTGAAGTACTAAGTGATTGTGACGATTAAAGAGAGCCACACTCTCATGTCCAGCTAGTTGGGAGTAAAAAGTTAAAGCCTTTCTGGAAAACCACCCAAAAATTTCCATCAAAAGCCTCTAAAATAGTCACTCCATTTGCCTCAGTATTTCCAATACGAAGAATCTCTCTACGGGAATTAATTTTTAAGTATAGGCAAACATGAAGAAACATGTTCATGGCAATGTTTTATGATATAAAAATAAATGGAGGTGATCTAGATTTCCAATAATACAAGGGTTACCTGAATTATGGTTGGTAGAGCCCTATCATGAAATATTAATACCTCTACTAAAAATGATGTTATAGAGAATTTTTAATCTCATTAAAGTAAAAAATGAGAATGGAGAATTGCATATACCACAGGATTTCATCTGCGAGTACATGTCATTTCTTGCAGAGAAAGGAGCGAGAGCAGGGTGTCAGAAGAGAGAGAGGAACTGAAATGGGAAGGCCTGAAGTGTCACAGTGGTGACTGGGTGTATCCGTTAGCTTTGCCAGAGGACAAACAGCACAGACAGCAATGAGACATTGCTCCTGTTCCAGGGGCTCAGTGGGCCTGGCCCGGCTCTCTCCCACAGTTCTGGGTGTCTGCGGTTCGACTGGGCCCCAACCCTGGTCTGGGCTTCCTGGGGCACTGTATCAGAGGCAACTATACCCCAGGTCCCTCCTCCTCCTCCCAGGGCCAGTGGGCCAGCCTGGACATGTCCTTGTGGCAGTGACGAGATCACAAAAGGCCTCTTGAGGCCCAGGCTCAGGACTGGCACAGGGTGATGTTTGCCTGTCCTAATAGTCAAAGCAAGTCAGATGGTGGAGCCCAGTGTCAAGGGGTGAGATACAGCAACCCCACACACAGTGGGCGGGACCTGCACTGGCACAGAGGAGAGCACTGGGGACTTTGGGGCCTCTACCTCAGTGGTCATTACAATATTAACACACTTCTTCATGTGTTTAATGTTGTATTAACTAATATTCTACACTGAACAAGGGTTTACCTTTTACAATTAGAAAAATAAAAATTGGGAGACTTCCTTTCTTGTGACATAGTTTTGTTTTTCATTGTCTTTTTCATCAGAAAATACTAGGGCAGATCAGGTTTAAAGGGGAATAGAAATGGGAAGGAAATTTATGAAACAGTTTCTGGTCAATAAGGCAGCCTCAGAAATCTGGGTTTTTGTCCCCTAACTTAAAACCAGCAGCACAGATACTGAAAGTGTAGCAAATCCTACAAATTTCACTGGCACCACTCCCTCCTACATCCCAGGGTGGGGACAGAATGGGAAATTCTTTCTATGGGAAGAACATTTTTTCCCTTTCCCTCTTCATGAAGGAGAAATAGCAGATACTGTGACATTCCTGACACAATGGAGCCACATGACGTAGGAAGCCATTGGGTGTCCAAAATGCATAGTAACTATTTTACCCATCATCTGTGGGAGAGGGGACATCCACCCCTTCCCCTCTTGGTCATATCATTAAAATGACATAAGGCCAATTAACAGGAGAAAATCAAGTTTTAATACATGTGCACGGGGAATTCATATAAGCATGAAAATTCCAAAGACAGGGAAGCAAAATGAGGGTTGCATGTCATTCTGGACTAAGGAGGGGAAGAAGGGGTCTAGAATTTCAAAGTAAAGTAACGCAATGCACAAGGAGATGAAAAGAGCTAGTGTTTGGTAAATAAATGTTGCTGTGCCATCTTTAACAATGGGACACAGGGAGGAATTTGCTCAAAGGGGCCTTGCTAGGTTCCTCCCTGTCCATCACATACTAGTTCATATTTAACCCGTAGTATCTGTGATGATGGCTTCTTCCTGAAGCAGGTCCTCTATCTAACTTCTTTGAGGCAGTTAGGGGGAGGTCAAAGGTTCTTCCTGAGTCTTCTGGGCCTTGACTGTTTTCAGCTTGAAATAATTTGCATGCCAGAGTGGCACAGCTTAGGGTGACTTGTTCTGAACCCCTACAATTATCTTGTACTAAGCCATGGTTAGTTTTCTTTCTGCCAAATACACAGGAAACCACATTAGCACCCAAGTGGGGCAGAAAGAAAAGGTGTTATTTCTTGAGAGCCTCCTACAAGCCAGGCCCTGAGCTAGTCAGTGTTCCAGAGAGCACCGCATGTGATCCTCACAACAGCACCTCGAGACAAACTTTCCTTTCCCTTCACTCTTCAGATGTGGTAGCTGAGCCTCAGAGAAAGGAGGTGACTGCCCAAGAGAGTTTCGAATCCATTTGTCCACATAAAAAATGTGTGCTTTTCTTCTGTATCCTGCTGCCTGACCTCACTCAGAGTGTCAAACGAACTCAAAGAGCCTGGATGCTTTACTAGAAATATGTAAACGATAAGGATTTTTTCAAAAGTCTTAGGGTTTGCAAACCTGGAACACAGCTAGGCAAAAAAAACCCACAAAAAACAGAAGTATCCCAAAGAAGAAAGAAAAGTTAAGAGTTTTTATAGTAAAAAGTGCATTGTTCAGAGTTATCCATCCTGCATTCTTAGCCCTAGGATTGGTCCAGGACGGTGTTCAATCAGATGTTAGGCAGTCAGGATGATGGATGCCAGGTGGCCTAGAAGACGGGTGCCAGGAGGTCTGGTCAGGTCCAGTGATCTGAATAAGCAAGTCCTTCAGGGAGTAATCAGAGGATTATCTGGAGGTCTGATGTATGCCCAGACATTGACCCAGGAGTGGAAAGTTCAAAAAGTTACATTCCCAGGTTAGTTAGAACAAGATCAGAATAATTTCCTCATACCTCAACCTACTTGATTTTAGTAAGTCAACAGCTTGACTACCACGACTCCTCACTCTGTTTCTCAAGAAACACAAATGAAGCAGAGGAAGGAGATCCCTCCCTAAGCTCCCTGTTCTTTCCCACCCATGTTTACAGGAGGGGTTGAGTGTAAGGGAGCAAGGCATTCACAGAGGTGACAAAGCCAGACCCCTGCTCCAAGAACTGACAATTCAGGAGGGTGTCTCAGGGCCAGTGAGATGGTAAAATGCACACACACTATAAGCACTTGTAAAAATGTATATACAAAAAAGCACCACCTATTAATGTATACTGAAGGCAATACTTAAAGTTTCTGCCTCCATATTTCTTTACTTCTCCTTTACATTTCCTGTTTGCCGCTCTGTGCTCCATCCCAGTTAATTTCCTCACAAATTCCTACAAGCTCACTAGGTCTGTCTATAATCCATCAATCCCATTGTAGTTCTCTTGGACATTTTTTTATTTCTAGATTTCTCTTTTTGTCCATAATGTCCCTGGTCTTGCCTTATGGATTCTCATCCTTCTTTTGTCTTCTTCACACTTTAAACATTCTCATCTGGCGGTCCTGCTCAGATCTCACTGCTACCTCTGGCCTCTTGGGCATATTTTCATTGTATCTGTTGACCCTCCTGATGTTGGGTTTCCTTTCATGTTTTGTGTTTTCATCTATGGGTCATTTCAGTGGGATGGTACCCTGTGCAAGCCACCCAGTGGGGCAATTGTGGTTGTCTCTATGCATGACGGGATGCATGGGTTTCCGTATCTCTCACCTGGATAAACAGTTCTGGCCTCATGCAGTGTGCTGCACAGTCCCAGGGTTCCAATTTCTCCCATCAGTTCTATTCCAACCTCAGCCCTGAGCAAGAAGCCGCATGCTGAGTCCAGATGCAGGTCTATCATTCTAGTTAAGAGAAGGGACAGTGACTCCCTGGGTCCAGACTTGACTCAGACAGCCCTGGACCAGTTTCCCTGCCACAGATGGCCCTGTGGCCTCAACACCTGCCCGAGTGGGACTTAAGGCCTCAGCCTCAAGGAGGAATACCTGAGTGCCCCATGCTTTCAACTCCCTCCAACCACTGCCTCATCTCTTCACCTCTAGTGTCAGGAGAGTCCCTGTTCAAACCTGACTGTGCATTTGTGTTTGTTTTTTACCTGGGGGTTCATGTGTGAGCAAGAGCTGGGCTTCCCATGACAGCTGAGTTTACCATGTAGTCAGCCATTATATGAACTCATGTGATGATAGCTTAAATTTAACATGTTCAAAAGCAAACCCGTCAGCATCCACGATGTCCTGCCAACTCCAGGATCCTTCCATCTTCTGCTTCACGATCCTCAGCTCACGACTTTCACCTTCATGGTCACTTGTGGTCACAAGACAGCTGCTAGAAAAGTCGAAAGGTAAAAGGACACAGGCCCATCAAGTCAGCTCTCTTTTCAAAGAAGTTTCTGGAAGTCATCCCTTCAATAACTTTCTCATACATCTCATTGGCCAAAACTTAGTCACTAGTTCGTCTCTAGCTATAAAAGAATCTGAGAAGAGTAGTTTTTCAGCTGGGCATACTGACACTCCTGACAAATTGAGGGTTCTCTTAATAAGAAAGTCTTGGCCATATTAGCCAAGACCAGCACATAAGTTCCTTCATGGCCGGCTGGCCCCAGTTCCCACACCACCTCCATTTCTCCAGCGTCATCTCCTTCCTCTTTTCCTAACAAATTCCATGCTACCACCAAGTTGAGCTCTGATTGCTTCCCACAGCAACCTAACCGTCTCCATGGGTAACACTCGCCATTCATACTTCCTTGTTCCATGTCTGCTGTTCTTGATAGACTGGAAACCCCATGGAAGTTTACTAATGAGTCCCAGAAATGACCACTGGCTTGACACATGTGTGGATGGATGGATGGATGGATGGATGGATGGATGGATGGACAGATGGACTGACAACTGGACGAATATTTCCTATGCTGTCTCATATATCTGTGTTCTCGCACATGCTGTTTCCTTTGCCTAGCATGCCCTTCTAACACTATCTACCCAGCTATTTGCTATTCATCTGTTAAGATTCAGCTGAGACATCCCCTCTTCCAGGAAGTTCTCCCTGACCACACCTGCCTGGGTGTGCTGCTGGGTGTCCTGCAGCCTCCACAACAGCCTTCGCTGTGCAGGATTGCAGGCCTGTGTTTACTTGTCTCTCGGCTCTGAGGTCTTTTTGAGCAGACCTGACTTCAGCCCTTCTCCAGTGCCAACCCCCCCACTGCTTGTCATGGAGCAGGACCTCTGTGGATTTTTAACGAAACTAGAATAAAAGAGAAAATAATGACAGCCTCATGTCCCTTGTTTCTAGAGAAAGATATGGCAGGTGGAAGACACTTTGGATGAGCTGAATCAGGAGTTCTTTCAGCTCACTGCTCATGCCCTAGAGCTCCAAAGAGAAGAAGACAAGCCAGACCAACTGCCCCCAAGCAAGGGTGGTGCAGTCGAGGTAAGCCCAGCAGACCACCCTCTCAGCTCCTGAGCTGTCCACACACAGCTGGGTCACACGATGTGGTGCCCACGGGGTCACAGCCCCTTCCATAGAAAGGGATTTGGACCAGAACAACCAGTTCTGACCAGAAAGCCCAAAGCTGGAGTCCGGTTTTGCCTGTTTGGTTTGGCAAATGGATCCAGAGATGGGGAGCACAGCAGTCCTTGGGCTCACTGGTGTCGAAGCATACTGAGGGCCTGGGAACACTGGGGAAGGGCGTGAGAAGAGGACAGTAGAACCAGCTGCTCCACACACAGCCTGGTTCTGGAACGAGGTCTTGTCCGTGGGGTGCATCTCCCATCTGGATTGATCCCCGTCCTCACTCTGGTTTCTGGAGGTGTCGTCGACATAGGGAAGGTTGGAGGGGACAAAGATAAGAGACAGAAGTAATAATTCTTCTGTGTCTGCACTGAGCTGAATAAAACTGTATTTACTAAAGCAGGCAGCCAGCTAATGTGCCTCACCTTGCCAGTTTGATCTTTTAAATGCTGCGATAAAGCACTATTTCTCTTGGCTTGAGTTTTGTTGCCCCCACCCCCACCCCTCTGACCTTTGCTCCTGAGCCCAGTGACCCCTCTCCCCCCCACCCTCATCTCCAACCTGCTCTGGGTGGTGGCAGGATGTGGGCAGGCATCGCCTGTCACCAGGCTTCCCAGAGCCAGTGTCCGTACCGGGATTCCCTGTGTCACCAAGGAGTCCCCTCTTCACCACCAGGGAGGACCCCTGCCACAGTGACGCTGGGAGTGGGGGCCCAGGAAGGGACAGCTATGCTGCTCTCTGAATTCAAAGAGTTCCACAAGAGCATCGTGTATGCATGGGTCTTGATGTTGGGAGGTCTGGAGAATTGGTTCTTGGTCAAACTAATCTCTCTCTTAAGGCAAAAAGGACAAGAAAGGCACCCACGCCCACAAATGCCTGCAGGAAAATTTATCTTGTGTGCCTGGGGAGATGCTGAGCCACACAGCCACAGATGCCCTTCCCAGAGCAGCCACAGGGACTTGTCTCCTGAGGCCCAAAGGTCCCTGAACCCCTGAAGCCCCGAACCCCTGAGGCTGGTCCTCCTCCCCATGAAACCCAAATGCAGGTGTTAACCTCCCCTTGTGTTCTGGTCTCAACACGTGCAGCGTTCACTCCTCATGCTTCACCAGACCCCCTTCCAAAGGGCTCACTGAGCTGTGGGCTCGCTTCTTCCCACTGTCAGACCACTGTGAAGACAGTGCCACTGCGGGGTGTGGGGGCAGGGACGACCAGGCAGGGCCCTATCATCGCTATATCGAGGAACTCAGACGACAGTGATTTAGAAAACGTCATGCCTAAAGAGACATTATGTAAATATCCCTTCTATTAAGGAAGGAAAAAACAAGATGAGCTGAGGGGCTATAAACTGTGGCAAGATTTAATTATTCAATAATTGCTCCAAATTATTAGACTTGACAGTTGTGCAATGATGTAATTAGTTGTTGTGTATTAATGTGGCAACATAAATCCAGGGGACACTATGGCTTCATTAGTGAATCGTGAGGTCAGTCCCTGGAGGTGACTTGTTGACACCTTCCCAAATGTTCAGTTGGGTGTTGTTGCCTAGAGATTATCAGAGTGACAACAGTCATGCCAGGGTCACCTGTTGGGTCCAAGGCAGAGTGAACTCGGGACACTCAGGAGTCACCTCTCCTTTTTTCATCTATGTCCTTTTCAGGTGATTCCCAGCATCTTCCCTTGTGTGTCACAGGAAGACAGACCTAACCCAACGGAAGCAGGTGGCCCAGACAGAGGGCATCCAGGAACCTGGGTACTGAAGAACAACCAGGCTCTGATGCTGGAGGTGAGGAGGGCCCGCCTGGCTCAGAGGATCGAAGACCTGGAGTGGGAGCTGTCCCTGCTCCTCCAGGTGGCAGATGGAAGCATGTGTGCCTGGGGAGATACTGAGTCACACAGGATGCTGCGGTGGCAATCTGGACAGGAGCCTTGTCCACAAGGAATGACCAGGTGACTCCACTGGCCCCTGGTAGGAAGCAGTGGGCATCCGAGGGACCACCAGGCCCAGCGTGTGCACTCCGGTTTGTGACACACACCTATTGGGTGACACCAAGACTTCTTTCAAAGCCTGGACCTTGCTCTGTTTGTGGTGACTTCTGTCTGTGAAAATAAAGTCATGCAGGTTGAGAAAATCATCATGGGTTCCCATCACTGAGTCTGTTCCTCAATCCTCTCAACAGGCTGCTGGCCAGTGGGCACTGTGCTCGGGCCACATGCCCCCAAAGCTTCAGTGGGGGCACCGGCTTCAGGAATAAGAGGGGCTGGGGTCGGGGCCATGGGATCTGAGGTGCAGCCTAGGACAGAGCTTCCACACCCCATCCCCCACTACTGCTGGGCTTCACAGGGAACCCAGGTGAGCCATGTTCCCTCCTGCTCCAGTGACCTGGAGGACAGAGAGGGAGGTGGTACCCTTGAGGCCACACTGAGGGCCTTTGGCACCAGAGGAGACTCTCCACTTCCCCAGGACAACCTACACTTCCTCCACAACTGTCACTCCAGTGGAAAGTCTCTTCACCTTCTGAGACCTGCCCCAGAGGCCACTGGCTCCAGGAAGCTCTTCCTGACCCCTTTCCCCTTCTCGCCCCCTGATTCCTCATAGTGTCTTGTCTCTACTATTTATCTGATTCCTACTGTTAGTTGTTGTGCCATGTTTTATCCTCACTTCTAGACTGTAAATTCCTTACTGGCAGAATGTATCGCACACAAACACACACACACAACACACACACACACACACACACACACACACACACACACACACACACACACACATGCAGCTCAGCACACTGCTCTGCACCTACAGGGTGCAAGGGAACCAGAAAGGCTTCCTGAATGTAACTGATAGTCTGGGGTACAGACACTGACCCCAAGGTCACACGCTCATGCCGGGGCCACCCCAGCACACTGGGACCTGCACAGAAGAAAACAGCATGGCATTGAGTGCCAGCCTTGTGGACAAAGTAGGATGGAGAAAGGCACCTAGAGGCGAGGGAGACAGAGCTCAGGCTGGAGGCCTTGGGACACTCCAGGAGGGGCTGGGACTTGACCCAAGCCTTCCAGGGTGTGAGACATGGATGGCTGGAAAGGCACGGGGTAGGGAGAGCATCCCAGGCCAGTGTGGTGGCTGGAGAGAGATGAGCAGTAAGAGTGCACAAGGTATTGGCCGAAACAGGTCAGGGCAGAGTCAGTTTACAAAAAGGAAACCATAGGAGGAAGTAGGGGTGAAGAGAGTGTCTGGTAGCCCCAGGAATGCCCAGCTCCTGGGCTTCCATCCTTGTCTCCAGCTGGTGCTCCTTGGCCCACAGCCAGGCCACAGGACCACGTTCACCTCTTCTGATGGCCAGTGTGGAGTTGCGGCTCTCACAGCGGCCAGATGGAGCCACCCCTGATACTGTTATCTTGTCAGCTTGGTCAAAGTATACAGGCCCCTCTGTAGAGCTGTGCTCCAGGCAGCAAACCCAGGGGTCCCAAGTGGACGTCACACAGGGCCTGGAGAAGCAGGCCTTCCCCTGCTGCTCTTTGGGTCTGTCAGCAAGGCCACCCCTGTGATGCCTCCCACACCTCTGGAGGGAGCTCTCTGGGGTGACACTCTCCCTGCCACTGCCATAAGGGGTGAATCTGCCAGGTCTCTTCTACGCCTGAGATCCAACAGTGAGAGCTGCAGGCCACTGAGGGAGGGACTCCCACAGCCCTAGGGCGTGGAGTGAGAGGAGGTGCTCTGTTGGCCACCAGGCGCGTTTTGCTTTTCTGGCTGATACATTCTTCTCCAAAATGTTCATCACTGTGTTGTACAAGGTGAGTGACGGTTGTCCCTTTTAGTGGCAGCAAGTCCCTGGGCCAGGACACGAGGAAGGTTACTCCCCACTCCAAGCCAAAAAAAAAAAAAAGCACCAATGATGCTCTCTCCCCCCAACCCACCCCCACCCCAGCCTCCAGGCAGCTGTGTATTCCAACTGGTTCCCAGTGGTGGGGGGGAGGGAGGGTTCCTGCACATGGACTGAAGGTTCAGCATGGAAAAAGCCAGCTGGAGTAGGAGGCATGTCCACCCAGACCTGTGCCCAGGGCCACCTCTCGTGGGTCCTAAATCGACCATCCAAGCAGCCAGCCAGGCATTTAGCAAACTTGGAAACCACCCTTCATTCACAGAGAGAACCAAGAAGGGGGACGAGCTGGCCCAGGCTTTCACAGTGCAGGGCTTCTGTGCCAGAAGGTGACACTTGAGAAGGTCATAGCGGGAGGTGGGCTCAGGGCACCACTAACTCTGATATGGGAGAGCCCCCCCACTATAGAAATTTTAAGCCCCCCGTCGGGTCCAAGTGTTTCAAGCAGGGACGATTTCAGCAGTGAGGTACCTAAATGGAAAAAAGCCTTGCAGAGTCTCTGACATGAATGCAGCAACACTTGTTTTTAAAGATATTATTGGGGAATTGGGGGAGGAAACAGTGTTGGAGAATCGGGTAAGGGGAACAGACAAGTTACTGTCCTTTTGTTCTTCAGTCTTATTGTGGAGGACGTCACTTCACTGGCCCATGTTGGTATTGTGATCGTTGTGATCTTCCCAGTTGAGGCAGATTGGTTGCCAGCTATTCGATGGCTGCTCACGGCAGCTCACGGCAGCTCACAGCAGCTCACACCGGCTGCCAGCTGTTCACACTGGATGCCAGCCACTCACAGTAGCTTACGGCAGCCCACTGCAGCCCCACTGCAGCCTACGCTGTCGCCGGCGACTCACGGCAGCCCAGCTCCAGGTCGAGCTGTTGTTCACCATCTTAGCTGTAGAGGGCGCAGTGTCACTGGCCCATGTGGGATCCGAACCGGCGGACCTGCTTCTCAGAGCTCACACTCCCAAGCCAACTCTTAACCAACGAGCCACTCAGCCAACCCGCAGCAACACTTTTATTTAGCAAAGGCAGAACAGCAGCAGCACTCAGTTAAACAACAGCAGCAGCAGCGAAGGCAGAACTCAGAAAATCCAGCAGCAGAGCAGCACAACACAGAACCCGTGCCCAGTTAAGCAGAACTGGGGTTTTTATAACACGATAACAATAATGTCATGGTGCCAGCACACATGTGCACTAAAAGCAACTCACATAAACAAGTTGTTTTCTTGCAGCCCTACCTGGGACTGGTGGAGTCATTGTTGCCAGTCTCCAAAGCCTGTAAACATATCCTATCCCTGGGAGGCCCTGACAGCTGGGTCCCATACCCCCTAACTACAAGAATTTTAAGTTCTTTTCCCTAATTTCTTAGCTCCCCAGCCCCTGATCTTAATCACTCTTCAAATCAGCTTCTTAATTCTAAACTGAAGATTGCTCCTAGCCTAAATCACAGAATGTCTCTCACCCTTGCTTCAGAAAACTACTTAAAAGCCTGTGACTTAAGCTTGTTAAATGTAATGTGGTAGCCCAACATTCCCCAGGCCATCCCAGACCTAACCCCTGGGTGAACAAACATCACCTGAAATTAAGATAAATGGGCTTTGAGTCCCGTCCCTGGAGCTGGTGCTTTTAATTTATTAACTAATGTCTGTTTCTCCTCATTTAGGGGCTATCAGGATACAAGTTATGTCCCAGCGAGGCTCCCAGTGCATCCCAACCAAGGCAGATATGAGACCCCCTTTTTTTATTTAAGAATACACAAGGTGAGAGTTTCGTGAATCCTCAGCAGGTAGCGACAGCTCTACCTACTTCTCAGCTTGAAGCAGATACAGAAGAAGAAACCCCCATCCCTCATCTCCCCACAGAGATTTATGGGGATCACGTCTCTCAGGGAAAATAAGGCAGGCAGTTAGAGACAGGTAATTGGGTCTCTACATTTCTGCATGTCCAACACAATCTATGGGGAGCACAGCCTGGAGACCTCCCGAATTCTTCCCTTAACTGCCCTAACCATTAACCACTGTGAGGACACTAAGAGACAATAAATTAGACCGGTCACTCTCACCTGCGCAATAGAGGCTACAATGACCTCCATCTCACCTGGACCTCATTTATACCATCACTATAATATCATACACATGCCCAGTAGTTCATTAATATCATTATAACAGACTGAATTCTGGGAAGGGACATGCACAGTCAAAGAGGATGACGTAATAGCCCCTTATCAATCATAGGGGTCAATCAAATGGTACCACACCAGGGGAGGAATAGCCCATCCTGGAGAAAAAAAAGCATTAAACCCCCTGGCTCCTAGGAGCCGCCTCCTTTGAGCCACAGCCTTTTGAACCACTTCTTTTGCTCAGGCCCACTCCTACCTCTTTGGAGTGTACTATCTCTTCTAATAAACCTCTCTTTCACCACTTTACCTCTGTGTCTTGTTCAATTCTTTGCTGGAGACACCAAGAACCTAGACATTGCACCAAGGAGGGCCCAACCTGCAGTAACATAATGGCTAGAATTCCTACCTTTCACTCAGGAGGCCCAGGTTCAATCCCCAGTGTGGGAACCTAGCACAGACTCTGTCAGTTTCGATCCCCAGTGTTAACACCACACTCGGTCTCTAATGAGCAGCCCAATGCAGAGGTCAGTGTCAGAGCTCTTCACGGGCTCACCTGCACTTCTTAAATACAATTACTCAACTATTTCTAAAACTGAAAATTAAGAAAAATATTAATACATTCAAAGATGTAACAGCCAACATACAAACCATTGGAGACCACCAAAGTTTTCCCTTCACTTGCTAGGTTAGTGTGTCTTAATGTAGACTCCAACGTAAATCTACTGCCCTGAGATTTAAACATCCTGAAATGGCAACATAAGACATTTTAAAACTTTTGGGATGTATAATAGCTGATCGGTATGAATCTAGATTTTCCTCGTTAATTTGCACCAAATAATGTAAGTATGAGTGAGACACTAGCAGGAAGCTGTCAGCAAAGGCCACCCATGCCTCCCGTTTAAAGTGTTTGTTATTTGTCAGAAGAGCCTCAGTATTCTCATTGACTGCTTAATAATAAGTTAATTTTGTGATCTTGAACCTGTAACTTATACTACTAAAAGGTGGCCTTTTTTTCTACTTCATACACTGCTTCCTCGTCAGCTTTTGTTGGCAGTAAGATGCCCTTCCTTACTTAGAGGGAACCTCTGGGACCTGCCTGTGGGTACTG